ATGGTAAATGGAGAAAAGGTTGACAAGAGATCAAAAGATGTATAAGGTAAATCTGCTGCACAAGACCTTTTAGAGTATGGAAAAGCAAGGATATTACTTTGACAACTAAGGTGCACCTGACCCCAGCCATGGTATTGTCCATTGCCTCATATGCAGGTGAAAGTTGGACAATGAATAAGGAAGAGAGCAGAAGAATTGATGTTTTTGAACTGTGGTACTGGAGAAGACCACATACTGAACATGCCCTGGACTGCTGGAAGGACAGACTGCTCTGTCGTAGAAGTGCAGACAGAGTGCTCCTCAGCGGCAAGGATGGAAATAGGATGGCATGCTTTGGACACATTGTTAGGAGAGACCAGTTCCCGGTGAAGGACATCGTTCGGTAGAGGGGCAGCATACAAGTGGTAGGCATCCGCGGGCTCAGGCACCGGAACCATGGTGAGGACGGCAGAGGACTGGCAGCGCCTCGGCTGGCCTGTTGTGCAGAGGATTGCCATGAGTTTGGTTTTGCTGTCTATTCCATCTAACGTGGCTTTCGTTGCCCTACTGGGCACTTACAGCAACAACAAGCAAACCGACAGCAACAACAAGCAAACTCACTGTCACTGAGTTGGTGGTGACTCATGGTGATCCTGTCCGACAGAGTAGAACTGCCCTTGTTGGTTTATGAGACTGTAGTTCTTTACTGGAATAGAAAGCCCCATCTTTCTCCTGAGGAGCGGCTGGTGGTTTCGAACTGCAGACCTTGCAGTCAGCAGCCTACCTTGTAAGTACTATGCCACCAGGGCTCTGAGTACTTACAAAGAGGTCACAATTGCCCCTCACAAGACTGTGAAATACATGTGCAAAATCAAAGTGTCTGAAACACTAAAGGGTTACAACTCTATCTTGAGGGAACAGAAATCACTGCGGCCTCCTACTGCACTCAGAGAAAGAGCTCAGAAAAGGCAAATCAAAGCGGCAGTGAAGGATTGTTGTTTCAGGTAGGCTTCATAGCTGAATGCATTCAAAACCTCTCCTCTGTAAAGCAGCTCATGCCTCCCTGCCTTTGAGGGCATGCTAACTTTTTGAAGGACAAGCAGGTAGTGGGGACAGTTTGTTTCTGAAAATAACTTGGAAGAGTCTCCAGTCACCAACTCACCATGAACATAGCTATCGATCAAATAATAGTATTTATGAAAGCAGTGTATAAACATGATTGTAAACCTACCTGGCCCCCACCACCTTTCATTGCTGTGCCTTCCTAGATAAGAACTAAGTCACCGTATGTTTTCTTAGAAGCACTGACCAGGAAGAACTGAGACTTGAACATAGGTTTACTACTATACGCCTCGTTCCTTCGAAGCACAGTACAGGAGTTGGGGAGCTGGTCTGCACAGCGTATCTCTGGGCCAAACCTCTCTCCTCCAATGGACCTGATACCTAAGAAGAACTGTGAGTCCAGTGAAATTCTGATGAGCATGCCCTTTAGCATAGCAGGTTTTCCATGAACTGTTTCTTTGCCATGCAAACAAATACTGCTTTCTCTGTACCCTGTTTGCCAGGACTATCTTGATGTAATGTTTTTAAAGTACAGCGATCCAAAGACACTTGTAGCTAATGGCTCTTGATTGTTCACACTGTCAATTAAGAATTTCCATCCAAAAAAAAAAAGAATTTCCATCCCAAAATATGAGTATTTGCCTGCGTTTCACTACCCATCACCAGTAATAATATAATAGAGCAGGAACATTAGTAAGGAGTTCATTTGATTTTTCCATCTAAATCCTGTCTTTTGTGGGAACATGTATCCACATTTCGATTCTAACACATTGTGAATGATAAATGAACTCTCTTGCCTTTAGAGGACATGCTGTTGCTTATGCTGTAAATTGCTATTTTCTTTCAGCAAAGTATTCTACCAAGCAAAGTTCACAGCTCAGTGCTTGTCCTCCTATAAAGCATATCTATAAATAAAAACCACCCAAGTCTAGGACACCAGTCAAAATAGACTAAAAGAAAAGGAGTGTGAGGCGGCACCAGACTGGCCAGAAGGCCACGCCGCTGTTTGCGTTGTTACAGTCATGGTCTGCTTTGTGCATCCTAAACCGGAAGAGCAATAGGAAGCCTATTTTAATTTGTTTTCATCGCCAGATTCAATGGCTGCAGGGCCCGAGAGAGTGAAAAAGATATTTTCTCTGAAGTTGAAAGCTGAACACGAGAAGAAAACACATTACTGGCCCCCAGATCTGTCTGCGAGTTTCCCTGTGTTAGCTGAAGAACAGGGTCCTTATTCAAACAACCTCCGGTCCGATTCCGGACAGCAATGATGATGGCCCTGATGGGTGACACATGGTGAATGGATATTGCTCAGGGGAGTGCTAGAGTCCGAGGAAAAGAAACGTGCATTCTTTCACAGTTGCCATGGGACAAGTCAAGTTTTTGCCGCTGGTTGCTTTTTGAACTTGAGAAGCTGGGTGACTAACTCCCTCATTTGATGGTAGAGAAGAATACACAAACTATGAACATGTAGTAACATAAAAGATAATAGGAGAGGACAGGAATTGAATATGATAGTTCACGTGCTATAAAGTGGGAACATTCTAGGAAAAAATGTTTACAATGTCACTTTTGACCATTTCAAACTACGATAATTTCTGATCAGGCTAATATCAGCTTAAAACTAGAGACATCATTTAGTATTAGGGGTAAATTTTATTTTGGATAATAGAGCATTCATTAACAATTACTAGTAATTACTAGCAACACACTAATATCGGAAAAATCTAGTCATCTATGTCTTTTAAATTTGGAACATTAATATTTTATTATAGGCATGTGTTTTTACAATTCTGACCTAGAAGCATAAATATTGTTCTTGTTGAGGAAAAACACAAAACAGGTTTGATGCTGGTAATTAGCATTACATTGTTAAATCCTTAAGTTTAAGCTGTAAGATTCAAACAATAAAATGTAACCAAAATATAGCACATCATTACTGTTTTGTTGTTGTCATTTTACTTTACCATAGAGTTCACACACCTAAAGGAAAATAGGCAAATGTTTGTACTTTTGTAAAAATGCCATGATAGTGTTAGATCTCTCTGGAGCTAGATTTATACCTCGGTCCTTGGCTCCGCGCGAGAAAGAATTCACGCCGAAGCCTGGTTCGTGATCGAAGTGAGTTTTATGAAAGTTAGAAGAAGTTTCAGGTTTACACGGCACCCAAGGGGCTCCTCCCGGACACGCGGCCTAGCTGGAAGCGGCTCTGCGTCCCGCAACGCGTGCCAAAGCTCTCTGCGCCGGAGTTCTCCCTCCTCGGTTTAGGTCCTTCTCCCCAGTTCTAAGTTCTCCTCCAGTCTCGGTTCTCGTCCTTCCTCTCCCTCCCCTCCGGGCTTCTGCCTTTTCAAGGATTCCACAGGGAGGCGTGGTGGAAGACCCCTGGTCAACCCCATTGGCTGAATTGAATTTACCTGGCTAGGTGATCCAATTCAAGTTCACGCCCACCCCTGCCTACCGGCGGGAACCCTGAACATGTGCGCTGTGCCACTCCTTTGTTCCCCTAGCTTGGCCCTCTGGGCACGCGTTAATGGACATCCCCCAGTCCTATGCTGGCCTACCTAACAATAGGATTGCATTGGCAGCAGATTCTTTACTGTGACTCTTCTAGCCAAAGTCTCTAACGTCCACCAAGGGACCTTCCCTGCGTGGGTCTGGGAAGGTGGGGGAAGATATTGATGGGGTTCACCTACACATAACTGTGAACAGGATTCTCTGGAGTGCCATCTTGCCCTGTAGAAAACAGGCCCCTGAGAATCAGGAAGAGGCATCTCATCACCAGCAAGAGCCAGGCGTGCAGTGCATCCTCAGGGGCTGCGCTTCCTGCGCAGGGAACCTCCAGGGTCCAGAAGACAGCGGTGACATCAGAGGTACCGCAGCAGGACCCAGAGCCCGAATCCGGAGCATGGGATGGGCTTCCCAACCTATGGGGTAAGTCAAGCTGAATGCTTTTGTGCAGGAGGCTGAGTGGGGTGCCTCTGGGCACTTGTGTCAGGGACCTGGGTTCACTGACCCCTGGAACTTGAGCTTCCTGCCTTTGGGTTGAGGCTCAGAGTGGAGTGGTATGCCTCGTTGGGCATTTATTAGCAGACCCGAAAGACCTTTGTAACATATCCTGATAAACAACTCAATCCTGAGCATCTCTCACTGAAGTTGTTACCTTCTTTACTAAGTCCTTTAATCAACAAGTTTGTCTGTGAGTTCTATATAGCCACTGCAACACATATTAGATCTTAGAAAGGTAGAAAACATTAATTAGGACAATTCAAGAATAATAGCTTTTCATGCATAACCAACGGAAAGGCAAATAATGATAAGTTAAAATATGTAAGTAATATCATGGCTGCAAGTTCTGCTGTAATCAACAGCAGGTAGGGTGCACAGATTGGGCCGTGGGAGATATTGCTCATGTCCCCATTACAGGGTAATAATCACAGACAGCTTTCAGTAATGGCTCCCAGCATACATCAGCAGCAGCTAGCACCACAGAAAAATATAACTATTATTTTACTTTGAAGTTAAAATAAGTAACACATTCTAAACTTAGTGTTTCACTCCAAAAAGTTATAATGTTAATATATTGGCTTAGCTATAAAAGCAAGTCTCCATGGCTTATCTCTTCTTTACTGAATGAATTTTTAATAGAAAGACTTCCAAGTACTCTCTATCACCCATACATGATCAGGCCAAAAACAGCAGCTAGTATTAAAATAAAGAAAACTGGGAGATTTTAAAAAATGGCAGATACTTTATGTCATAAATGCATCATAATTTCTAGTTGTCAATAGACATGGTATTGATGATTTTTGACCCGTGCCTCCTGTTTAATATACCAAGGTGCTGTTGAATAGATCACTGGGTGAGGATATTTAATTCAGCTTCTAATTGTGCTCATGCTTATTGCTGTAACATATCTTAGATATGTGAATTGATTAGAATAATTTCAAGATCCAAAAACGTAGTACCACAGAAAAAGAATTTATTTTTATTAATTCCATTAAACAAGACATATAAACATATACATGACTATGCACATATACAAGGAAACATTATTATAGTTGAGATAAAGCATTTTAATATGCATTCCATATAAATCAGCTAATATAAAATAAACATCAGCAAAAGCAATTTTACAACTTGTTTTTTATTGACCGAAAGTAAAAGACACATTTTCTTAGAATTACAATTACTGTTTTAGGTCTTCAGAAAAACTGGGATATCATGATTTACCAAAAGAGTAAATGATACTAAATGAACAAAAGATTACAAAATAAAACTTATGCAAACTTAAGCATAGCTGGATTCAGGGGTAATTACTTTTATAGTTTCCTGGATACAATGGTTAATTTTATGTTAACACAATTTGATAAAGGGGGCAATGATCCTGGTCACTCAGGGAAATAATCTTGATAATTTGGACCAAGAGATATTAGAACAAATATGCCCTCCAAGTACATCTTTTAAACCTACTGTATACATTAAACAGAAGTAAGTACACTGCATGAGTGATTCAAATCTGAATGAGAAAAGATTCTGATAAGAGAGTCAGAAAAGTAAAATGGTTTTAGTATTATATGAAATATTCCATTTGAAATACTAGTGCAGGTGGCTTGAAAAAAAATCTAGTCTAGTATTGCTGAAATTTCAGAAATAGTTCCCCTACTTTTGATGAAAACCTTAATATTTATTTGCATATACAAATACTGAATTTTAAACATCTTACAATTTGGTAAGGCAAGTGCATTTTGATAAGCTTCTACATGACAAATCTGTTGATGAGGAGCACAAAACATACATTTTCATGTGGGTCTCGGAAATCAGGCCTCTTCAATTGGGCAGATCCACATTCTGAAGGATGAGGGCCACTCGGCTTGGAATGTACACCTAAGTGAACACACGCAGGTCAGTGTCACAGGAAGGAATGCGGAACGTTATCACACTGCTTAAACGACTGAATCTTTGCAATTCCATTTGTTTGCTCTGAGAAGGCTCAAGGCCAAAGCTTCCAGAGTTCTGGCATCTAAGACGATTCTAAAGCAACGACCACTAGAGGGCTCCATACAATTTGCAAACATTAAGTTTGTTGGCTAAGAGCAGGCCAGGGCACCTTTTGGGTGGTGAAGGACAGCTGCCCAACAGGTCACAATTAGAGAGAATCAAAGTAAAACAGAAAGCATTGTTTTGTATCAATAGTGTCATTTACAGTTTCTTTTTTGTTCCCCTCTTTTTTTTAAGGACAAAATCATAAATGAAACATAAGTGATTTTTAGTGTATTTTAGACTCTTCTCCAATCTAATGAAACAAGGTTGACATTTCACTAAAAGTAAAATATGCACGGCCCTGAACCATTTGCGCCTTGCCTAGCCTCTTCTTCCCTCATGCGCCAAGCTCCAGCCCCAAGGGTCTTTTGATTCATGAAATACACCCAATACGTCCCTGTCCCTTTCTCTGGGTCTCTTTGCCATGCTGTGCCCTCTGCCCAGAACACTCCTTGCCTCAATGGTTCCTTTTATCTTGAATCTCAGATATAATCGTTTCATGGGCAGGCATCCCGTGACCACCCATAGGACTGATAGGTTCGTCATTTTACCTGATGGCAACCTTTTTGTTTGTATCACAATTGGCGATCTGTTTTTGTTTGCATCCACAATTTGTTTTGTTTGTATCCACAATTTGTGATGTTTTTTCAAGTTTACTTCCTGATTGTATCTAAACATTATGATGACAGAGGCCATGTGCTTTTTATTTCTATTTCTTAGTATAATATCTGGACAAACTAGGGGTTAAAGATAACTAAATCAAAAAGCAGCACTAGATAAAAAGAATAATAGTGGGAGTAACATGAGCATATTTCACATGAGAATATCTAATATACTTTCATCTGAATAACTTATAAAACTGCAAGGTAATTTACATTTCTGGATGGTCATCTATTTTATACATATCCAGCACTAGTAACCAAGCAACAAATAAAAATGATATTGTAAACGGTTATTATTATTGCAGTAATGAATCTCTACTCATGATTTTAATACTATATTATTTTCAGGCAATTTATTTCGAAGTGGAAGCTTATCTGATGGTTTTGATAAAAGAAGGGGAGAAGGCTTTCATTGCTCAGACCTAGAATGGAATGCGTAAAGCAAACCCGGCAAAGGAAAAAAGATGGAGAAAGAGCAGAGTACAGCAGGCGGTTTTCATTAACTAAAGCTACCCTGTGCCCAATGCAACCCCACTTCAAAGGAAGAAAGTTTTTCCCCTTAAAATATTTAACCCACACTTGGCAGTATTAAAAGAATAATAAACATGCCAAGGCAGTTGTTTGATTTTAATATCAATATTAAAGTATTTTGACAATGATGGAATTTTGAAAAATTAGTATTAAAAGTATAAAGGATAGTTTTTAATTTTTTTTCAATGAAAAGTAATAGTGATTTAAGAATGATCACCATCTGAGAAAAATTCCACACATGATAACAGTCATTCTGTACAGTCAGTCAGTCAATACTTTCAAAGGGATAAATCTTATATTCTTGCAGCATAGTAAAACTATGTACTTAAATGCAGCATAGTAAACTATGTACTTAAATCTGTTTCCCAACAAGTTACACATTTTTAATGACTTATAACTAAAACCACATGAGACTTAAACTGCCAAGGAGTCCCCATCCATTTAGTATCTTCTTTTTGCCTATGAAAGACAAGGTCTTATAAAGTTAGTTGAATAGGCAACACTAGAAGTATCCATTAACAAATATAAGGTGAACTATTGCCACTGATCTAGGCAGATCAACTCCAAAGCAGCATAGTCTACAATTGAGTTACAGATCAAAGCATCCCAAACTAAAGCAAATGAGAAATGAAAGAAACCAAGACTCAGACTCAGCTTATCCCTTCCCAAACTCGGATCAAATCAGGCTTGAATCAAAGGACAGTGGCATGTGCTCCAAAGAAGTGTGCCGAGTACTCATTCAGGGTTCTGTTTCTGGGCTGTGCAAATGGTTACCTTGCTTGACGACTACCAGAAAGTTTGAAGGTGCGAGTACATGCAGAGAGAAACAGAACAAAGGCCTGGTTATCTACTTCCAGAATCTCACCCACGGACAACCCTTTTGCGCTCAGGTTTACTCTGACACACACGGGATACTATAAGTCACGATCAAGTACATCAGCGGTTCTCAACCTATGGGTCCTCACCCCTTTGGGGGTCAAATGACCCTTTCACTGGGGTCGCCTGATTCATAACAGTAGCAAAATTACAGTTATAAAGTAGCAACAAAAATAACTTTATGGTTGGGGTCACCACAACATGAGGAACTGTATTAAAGGGTCCCAGCATTAGGAAGGTTGAGAACTACTGAACTAGATGATAATTGGCTAATGGTTGTATGTGTTTAGTTAAGAGAGTCAATGGCAAAGCGGATTATACAAAGAATGAGTCTGAATTGTTTCTACCACTAAAACTGAAAAGAGCCTAAATTTCATAGTAGTACCAGAAACAAAATGAAAGAATTCCCAGGCCCTGCTACATTAAAACTAACTTCATATGATATGATAACTTTCTAAAAGAAGGTAAGAAGATTCTGATAAGCCGAAGCCTCCTGAGAAAGTTACAGTGGAACACATGGACAAGGTAGGCTTATGACAAATACAGGCACGACCTTGCTCAGTGTGTGCCATCATTTATATGGGCAGGAGCAGTCAAGGTGAGTCTCTTGTTTGGATTTCATGTAGTTCCCATGTCTGCCCTGTTTGAGTCATGCCTTCATAACAGTTTCATTAATGAAAGTAAGAACTGTCTCCTAACCAAATGAAATCAAATCAAACCAAACCAAACTCAACAGCCATCAAGTCATTGCCAACTCAGAGGGACCCTGAAGGACAGGACGAACTGCTCCTGTGAGTTTCCCAGACTGTAATTCTTCATGGGAGTCAAAAGACCTCTTTCTCTTGAAAAACCATCTCCTACTGGACATTTCTGAATGACTGTATTTTCATTTACAATGTAAATAATATTTTTTTTTATTCCTTGGAATCTTTGCTGCTTCAAATTTAAGCGTTAAAATGGATTAACATAATACATTCAAGGTATGCAATACATGCATATATATATATAGTTTCCTATTTTGATATTTAATGGTTAAAAATCACTTCAACGAATTTTAATAAATGATGCTGGCCATTTTATGTAAGGAGCTTTATGATGCCAATTCCATACACACGTAGACTATCTACTCAAAACTTTAAATTGATAATTATACAGCATCGTTAACAGGGATATTGTGTAATTATATTTTTCACTTCAATGTTAATTACCAGAATGTGCTTATGTTGCTCCAGAGCCCTTGCAGCATAGGCAATATTAAGGGATTTCTCCAAGCAAGTGGATTTTTCTTAATTATGATCATCTATGGAATTCTGAGTTTTCTTCTATATTATGGTTTCAAGTATATAGATACATTTTCTTAGTGGTTAGCAAATATCTCCCAATTATACTAAGGAACTTTGAGACAATCACAGATTGTCCTTATGATGAGGTAATTACAGATATGAACAAGTTGGGGTCCCTATAATCTACTGCAAGGTAAAGGATTGCTCCCAGGTTTCAGTTGATATATGCATGGCTTTATTCCCAACACAATGCATTTAAACGTGCCTCTGGATTCCATGGATGGCTCCAGACCAGGACTCTTAGGAATACATTGGTCTTATCCTCATTATGGTGCTTCTAAAAAAGCCCCCGATGTCCAATCCAAACAGTAGCTTTTAAGGGATCTGGTGGGTCAGTTAAATTCTCTGCAGAGAGGCCAGGTCATAAGGTTATGGTGACTGTTTGGGGAGATTCTTCATAGATCTTTTACAAAGGATATGTGATTATGAAGTTATTTTTCAGAAAACTGAAAATTGCACTGGTGAGACAAAGGACAGGAGTTACCCCCCTTATCACCACAATGCAGCTGCTTATTCTTTAATGGTAGCAAGAGCTTTTCTATAATAATTTCATTGTGAAACCTTATCCCATCCCTCCTACTTGATTTTGTTCCTTCACACTTCTTTTTGTTTGTAAAACTGAAAGGACATTTAACAGGAAAAAGAGTGGACTCCCTCGCGATGCCCAAACTACCATTTTGACGTGCTGTACACTGAAGGGACATGATTCTTTGGGGGAATGGTTAGAGAGATGAACCACCACATCTAGAAAGAAGTGCATAGATGGAGATGGGGGAATATGTCAAGAAATGATGGCTTCCTCTTTTGATAGTTTGGTATAGGAATGTTTCCCAAAGGAGTCCTGGTGACTAGTACATTGTGCATTGTGTTGCTAACTGCAATGCCAGTAGTTCAAAACTGCCACCCATACTGGGAGCAAATGACAGGGCTTTCTACTTCTATAAAGAGTTCCAGGCACAGAAACGCACAGGGGCAGTTCCACCCTGTCTTACAGGATTGCTATGAGTCGGAACTAACTCAAACGGCAGGGAGCAAATTTCCCAGCATCCTCTTTGACTTGCCCTCACATGGGGAGCCCTTGTAGCAAAGTGGTTAAGAGCTTAGGTGCTACCTGAAAGGCGGGCAGTTTGAACTGAGCACTCCTTGCGTGGGAGACACATGTGGCGGTCTCTTTCTGTGAGATTTACAGCCTTGGGAAGCCTACGGGTGCTTTTACTCTGTCCTCAAACGTCACCGGGAAGAGGAATCAACTTGAAACAGCAGCTATCATTTGAGTATTGTCTGTGAAACTCTACATTTATAATTTTAATGGCATATTAAATTTTAAAATAATTTTGAAATAGGCAGCAGTAAAAAGAAACATGAAAATAATATAAATCAATTTGAAGATCAATTAATGTTTAAGTGCATTTAAATATAAATCTTTTTTTTTTTAAGTACATGAAAATAGAAACTGTGTAGCATGCCTGTCAAAAGATAATACCTTTATGCTGGTAAACAGATGTACCATGTTCATTCATTAGTCATTAAGAACTAGACTAAGATCACGTTGTGAACATGTGAGACACTATCATATATGGCTATGAAATTGGTATTTTCTAATTACATTTATTTAGTTATATTTCCAGTTGCCATTGCGTCGCTTCCGACTCATGACTGCTCTATGTGTTGCAAAGTAGAACTGCACTCCACAGGGTTTTCATGGTTGAGGCCCTTTGGAAACAGAAAACCAGGCCTTTCTTCTGAATCATCTCTGGGTGGATTTGAACTACTAACCTCTCAGTTAGTAGCCATGAATTTAACTGCATGTAGTTAACCATCCAATTAACTCATGTACTTAACAGGGATTCCAGTTATGTTTATAGGTATACTTATATTTATCTGGTTTATATATTTATAAGCAAACATTCACACAGAATTAAACTGTATATAATCCAATTTCAGTAATTGGATAGTCAAATATATATGCTACTCTATCTGCCCAACAACCTTTTACTTAAACCAAGTCGGCTTTTGAACACCCAAATTTAGAATGTAATAAATGGACCTACTTGCTATTGATAAGGAGTCTAATTGGTAAATACATTAATGTTAAAGCTACTGCTTTAGTCATATTTTCATCATTGATAACTCTTGAATATTATAAAAACATCTAACTTATTTAAAGCTCACCTACTGCCATCTCCCCTCTGTGTTAGGAAATTTGAATTGATGAGTCAAAGAAGAAAAGGAAACGCCTCTCCTCCCAGTACCCCGATTAACCGAGAAGTTAACATATAGCCCCCAGAGCAGGATCAGAAATAGAGAAATTACTGTGCTAAAATGAACTTTCCAATGACTGCCAATAAAGCACAATGAAGTTCTTCTCTGTCACCTCTTGGCATTTGCGAGCTACTCCGGCCTTAGCACATAGGTTTCAGTTGTAGGACACACGCACTCATGCCCTGGCTTCACCGTTTCAACTGAAGGAACACACAAGGGCCATGCTGGAGCTGTCTCTGCAGATGCTGCAGCAAGCATGGCTAGTTCAGGTATCCTTCGAGCTGTTTGTTGCTATCTTGGAAAAGAGATTGGGGAGTTATTTACCAGATCCTATGGATTACTGAGCCTGCAAATGAAACTTTAGCAAATGTGTATGAGCGACGATGGGAAGACTTTCCCTGGAAGCGGAAACACGTTGTACATTGCCCACCTGCCCTCCTGTTGCTCTCAGTGTGGAAGCACTGATACCACTGGCTGTGCTCACATACCTCCACAGAAAGGGCTTATGGTCATGTTCAAGGAGCGTGGTTGACTCACACCACAACTGAGTTCATTTAAAAAGGTGCTCTATTATAATGAGACTTCCTGGTTCTAAGCACTTTTTATGTGCTTAGATTTTCTCCACTAGCTACTCCCAGGATAAGTCTGGCAAGAAGAAAAACTTTCATTGGCTCATTTCTATACTCTCATCCTGGCATTGAAATCAGTGGTCATTCCATTTGGAGCCTAAAGACTCACTGAAATAAATAACTCTTAAAACACTTGCAGAGATCAAAAGCACATGCTGCAGCTAGGAACACAACTCTAACTTTCCTGAACAAGCTGCATCTGAAATCTCGGGATGCTATTACAGGCTATTCTATTTCTAATGTGTGTGTGCGGCTGTGTTCCTCTACCTGTGATTGAGATTTACACGATATCCTCATTCCATCTGCTAATTTAGAACTGCGCACTCCACGTTCGTGAGATCAATTCGATGAGTTCTTGAGAAGCTATCTCCTGACTGCTGCTGCCACTGGTTAGTTACCTTGTTTTAACTAGGACAGAATACCTTTGCTCATAAAGTCAGAAGGAGAGATACCAAGACGTCTTCTGTCTACATCCAGCACTTGTGGGTCTTTTACCTAAGACTGACATGTCTCCAGAGTCAGCAGAAAGTCTTTAACGGTGTGTCCCCAAAAACCTCGTGAACGGACATGATTTGAAAACCTCAATCACTATCGACTAGACATGATAACAATTTCAAGTATGTGCACAATAACATATGAATCTAAAAAGCCTACAAAAGCTAATGAGTTTATGACTTATAAGAATTCCAGGCTGTAGAGATGATTCTTCTTCTGTTATTATTCATCTTCATGTACAGATAAGAGATGGTGAAGCATAAAACATTAATTACCCACATTCTCATGGGTAGTAACTAGCAGCAATAGAGAAACGTGTTCCCGGTTTCTCTCATCACCACATTTTGTGCCTTTTCATCATAGTACCAGGCCGCTCCCATACGGAAACAAAGAAACCGTAGTGGATCCACTAACTTGTATGAAGGTGGGCTGCACCAAGGCGCTGCTGTACGAGTCCTTCAAACCCCTTTCGAGCTCACATAGTGGTTGAAGTTTAGCTTTTACTGTGATTAATTGCTGCATATTCATGACTCCTCTTAACTGAATTATCTTTCCAATACCTCCGGGGTCTGGAGGAATAATTTTGGGTATTTCTAAGCATTAAGGCAATTTTCTAGTGCATTTCTGAAGTGTTAACATTTTTGCTTTTTAAAGTCAATCTTATTACATGTTCCCAGTAGATGTTGGGGAAAACTATAGCAACACAATACCTTTGAAGAAAGAGGCAGATCTTTGAGCCTTCCTTTTAAGAATACACAGGCATCTATTTGTTAAGGTATACCTATTTCTTTATGTAGCTTTTTCTTTATCAACACACTCTGCAAACACATATAAGTTGGGGCAAAACTATCGCCGTTGTACTTTCTTTCCTCTATACTAGTCATCAATTCCATCTTGCATATCCCTGCTCTTTTTAGTCTACTTTCTTTCATTGTCTTTGCCACAAAAATCCTGTATCTGAGAGTGGATAAAGAAGCGAGTACTGACACGACTCTAGGAGATGGCTGGTTGACAAACGGGAGGCAGGAAAAACATACAGACTCTCCTACTTCCCCTATCATGTCTCAAGTTGGAAAGATGGAGGACTTTCATGCAAATCAGAGGTTTCAGTTATGATACAGTCATCCATTTGCTAAATACATCCTGACCTCATGAATTTCTGTAAAATTTAGTCCAGGATCTCTCATGATTAAAACAAGGCAAAATGAAAAATAGAAAGATTGAACAATCAGTAAAAGAAACATGAAAGTTTTAAAACATAGAGATGTGGACCTGTGAATATACTGTAGATCTAGGAATGTGCCAAGTCCTATGTTTTTTAAAAAAGCATTTAAAATGAAGTCATTTAAAGCAATGTGAAAATTCCACAAAATTAAAATTAGTTACATAAAATAATGCTTTTCTCAGGAATATGTAGGGCAGCAGAGAATTTTGAACCTATTATAAAATTCAGTCTTCAACTTACTACGTGAAAAAAGATACATATTCATGATTCTTTTAAAGTGTTTAAATTAAATTTTATTACATAGCCATAATTTTTCTGCTGAATATAATGTATTTCAGTAAAAGCAAGAAGAACAGAAAGAAAGAAGGTTTTAACATAAAGAATTAAAATATTCATAATAAAATGAATAATACATATCTGCTTTTCACATAATTTTTGAGAAATAATGTATAATTCTATTAATGTGAAAACCCCATAATTGTTCCCCCCAATCCATTACTGTTTTTTAAAAAAATGTTCAAAACCCAAGTTAGTCCAACACCACACACAACGCCTGGCTCTATTACCTAGTAAATGGCTTTTAATTTGGCGTCATGCCCCTTTCCTTGCCCCACCCCTCTCTCAGCATCACTTCCTCGTGGAGGAGGGGTTTCTTTGAAGGTAACATCACTTACATGAAAACCAAAGACAAAATCAAAACTGAATGAAGAAATATTTCAAAACTTACCAAAAGAGAATAGGGGCGGCCATTGTGTTCAAAAGCCTCAGAAAAGTAATCGGTGCTGTGGTCAAGTCTCTGGTGCCCTCCATACTCGGGTGCATCCGAATCCAGCACAATTTTGAATGTACAGGCATTAAGGAAGTCACAATTTTCCAGCAATTGCATGAGACATTTTGAAACATGTTCTGAGATGGAAATTTAGAAGTTGCTATCCTGAATGCTGCTAAATCATGCATCTAGACCTCTATCGATAATGATGCCATTTTAAATTAGAGAAGGCTCCTCTGGATTGACTCATTTCTTCTTTAATATTTCAGATATTCTCAAGAATGGAATGCTTGCTATCCTCCTATTACAGCATATCTAGTGCCATCCAGCCTAGGACTGAACATGCTTGTTAGCAGAGAATCAACTTTCTCTTGTGAACACATTCCAGCTGCTGGCAGTATTTCACTGTACTGGTTCCTTGGTACTGTTCTTACTCCGAAAAGACGTAAAGAGTACATTCAGTAACTTCTCTATAAAATAACCTTGCAAGTATTTAGTAATAGCTATGCTATCTCCTTGTGTTCTCTAAAAATCAAACCAAACTCACTGTTGTATAGTATACATTCCAACACACAACCCTAAGTATATGGTATATGTTCCAAGCCATAGAGCCCTACTGGGCAGAGTAGAACTTCTCCATAGGTTTTCTAAGGCTGGAACCTTTATGGAAGTAGACCGCCACATATTTCTCCTATGAAGTGGCTGGTGGGTTTGAACTATCAACCTTTTTGTTAGCAACTGTGAACTTAAAAACTGTGATAACATGTCTTATTTATGTCTTCTAAGTATATTATTAAATGCATACTACATATAATCCCAGAACTTCCAGCTATTCCTCATTAGATGTGCTATTTGAGCTTCTTAATCTATTTCGGAATTTGTCCATTTTCCTAGATTCTGATTGATACGAAGGATACAGAAATGAACAAAGCACCCATCAGCACCGCAGACAGAAGCAGTTTTATTCCCTTCCCCTGGTGATAAGCACAACGCTACTGTCGACATAGTGAGGTGCAGGGACGGTGAATTACTGAATGTGGCCTTCTAACTCAATCTCTAACTTCTAACAACCTTTCCCTGCATGGGTCTGGTAGGAAGGTGGGGGAAGACACTAATAAGACTCATCTGTGAGTAATTGTTAACAGGATTCCTTGGATTGCCATCCTTCTGTGAATAAATGGATTCCTCTGAGAACTAGAAAGGACGACCTCACTACCAGCAAGAGCCAGAAGTGTAACATGTCCCCTGGACCTGAGATCCCTGCGAGTGAACCTCCTGGAGCCAGAAGACAACTCGAACATCAGATGAGCAACAAGCGAACCACGAGTCCCAGCAGGAGACAGACAGGCGGATTTCCCAGTCCAAAGAGCAAACACATCCGCTCCTTTGGGCAGTCGGCTGGCTTGCGGAGTGGGGTGCCTTTGGGCACTTAACTCAGGGAGCTGGGTTCACTGAACCATGGAGCTTGAGCTGAATGCCTTCGGGTTGAGGCTTACAGCGGAGTGACATGTCCTTTGGGCTTCTAGTAGCAGACCCGGAAGAACTTTGTAACATGTCCTGATTGTACATCTGTATCCTGAGCATTTCTCATCTTCACTGTAATCTGTCAACTTCCTTAGAAACCTCTAGAACTGACACTTTTCTGTAAATTCTATGTGACCCTTGCACTGAATTATAGAACCTAGAGGAAAAGCAGATAGTGACTATGGAAGTGGCAGGACATGAGGTTATACAAGCATTCAATCAGTCATGCTACAGCTGGATCATGTTGTAATCACGTATTCTATAATTTCTTTTCCCAATGAGTTCTTAGGCATGCTAGCATCACTGTATTTACAACTCAATGTATCTCAGCTATATTATTGCAGAACACCTAGATGTGGCGAATGGTCAATGGGCTAGGATGCTAACGAAAAGGATGAAAGTTCAAAGTCTATCTAAAGGCACCTTGGGAAAAAAGCCTAGTATTTTACTTCTAAAAATCAGCTGATGTGTGTGTGTGTGTGATCTACTATGATAGAAAGGAGGTGACTATGAACTTGAGTTGACAGCAACTAGCAGCTGGAACAATAATTTTTATTATTATAAAAATTAGTTGTTCAAATTGTCTAAAGATGGTATTTATAAAAATCACAAACTTTCATAGTCACCTTGTATCTTGTAGCTCAAAAAGGCATTCTTGTATTGGTATATAACTATTTCATATGAGAAGTATTTGTATTATTTATTTTTTATATGTAATTAAAAAATCATTTTATTGGGGGCTCGTACAACTCTTATCACAATCCATACATACATACATTGTGTCAAGCAAACTTGTACATTTGTTGCTAGCATCATTTTCCAAACATTTTCTTTCTACTTGAGCCCTTGGTATCAGCTTCTCATTTTTTCCCCTCCCTCCCTCATGAACCCTTGATATTTTATAAATTTTTATTTTTTTCCACATCTTACACTGATAGTTATCTTCCTTTACCCACTTTTCTGTTTTCCATCTCCTGGGAGGGGGTTATATGTAGATCATTGTGATCAGTTCCACCTTTCTCCCCCCACATTCCCCTTACCCTCTTGGTATGGCTACTCGCAATATTGGTCCTGAGGGCTTTATCTGTCCAGGATTCCCTGTGTTTCCAGCTCTTATCTGTACCAGTGTACATGCTTTGGTCTAGCCAGATTTGTAAGGTAGAATTGGGAACATGATAGTATGTTATTTTAAATCCACCCCAAATCATCACATTAATAGTACAAGTGGATAATAACAGAAACATGATGTATCATTTTGAGGAAGAGGTAGCCTCTATCTTGTGAAGAGATACAGCAAAGGTAGTCACCAAAGGAGTTTTATTAGGCATGTTACATTTTCATCAATCTAAATCTGCATGCTCTGATTAAATGTTATCATTTTAAAGAAAAGATAATGGACAGAGGGATGGACAGATAGATGGATATATAGATGAGTGATAAAGTGTTTCAAAATATGAGTAGGCTCAGGCACGTTCTAAAATCATTCAGTGTAACTAAAATTAAGCATACCAGTTTAATGATAAAATATGGGTAATGAAGATAAATTACTAAGCACAGCATAAAATAAAGCATAAATAGAAGTTTAGTGTTCTTTATTTCATCACATACTTCTATAAATCTTCAATGAGTACAGTTTAGAGAATTAAGTCCTGGGGTACTTACAAAGATGAATGAATTAGAGTATCTTTTACTAAATTGCTAGTTGGCAATATATATTATTGGCAGGAGTGAATGAAGAAAGCAAGTATACACCAAAATTAGTGTCCCTGTCCCTGTGAAGTGAGGATCAATAATTGTGTTATTATAAGGATGTTCTTATAAGGGCTATTACAAGGGGCATATTTTAAGAGTGTCACTGAATTACCATTATGCTATTATAATTGCCTGGGTATCTACATATGTATTAAGCACTGTCATTGACCAAATTATGTTAATATGCATATTACTAAATTTCAAAGAATGAGGTTTTTAATTAATAAAATATAAAGTAAAAGTCACAAAATTATTAGAAATTTTTGCCTTTCTATTCAATGAAATGTTACAAAGATCCATTTATTTTTTATATTGAAAAGGATCATCATACTGAAAAGGTTAGAATCAGCTTATTTAAAACATCTAAGCTTATAGTTATAAAGGAAAAGTTTACAAAAGCTGTGCAGAAAGTTCCAAATGTCACTTTAGAGATATTTTCCTGTCCCATAATTTAAAGAGGAACCTCAATGGCCTAGTGGGTTGCTTGTTGGGCTGCTGAAGACAAGACCAGCAATTAAAAACCACCAGCTTGCTGATACCAAGGGCTCAAGTAGAAAGCCAATGTTTTCAGAATGATGATGGCAACAAATGTACAAATGTGCTTGACACAATGGATGTATGTATGGATTGTGCTAGGAGTTGTACGAGCCCCCAATAGAATGATTTAAAACATAAAAATAAAACAATACCCCACCCCCACGCAGCTGCTCCGAATGAGAAAGATGGGGGTTTCTACTCCTGTAGAGACTCCTGTACAGCCTCAGAAACTCACAGGGAGCATACTACTCTGTCCTATCGTGGGTCACTGTGAGTTGGCATCAACTCAATGGCAGTGAGAGAATTTAAAGAAAAACACTCTGCTGTGGCATTTCTTTGAAAGAGCCCAGCCTGTGTCTTTATTATCCAGGGAATATAACAATTTCCTTTAGCAAATATAATCTTTAAACTTGAGAATTTCTAACAAATCAAAACACTGGGCTAAAAGTAATATTTGCAAAAACATAAGTGTTAAGTGCTCTGTGTTTGTACATTGATCATACACATTACTCAAGTAAAAAAATATGCAATCTTTGGGGGATGGTGATTAAAATGAGAATAGAAATTAGACAGTTTTAAAGTTACCTAAGTGAATATGTTTATTTACTTGGCTCATATTTTAAAATATTAATGCTTCTTTGAATCATTTTAAATTCAAGGACTTCCTAAGTATTTTATATATCTCTCGACAGGTGGAAGTAGATAAGAAGTTCTAAGCATTATTTTATAATCTGCCTCCTGAAATTTGGAGCAGGGAAGAGCCATGTTCAGAAGGCAGCCTGTGCTAATAAGATTAAAGAACAGTGAAGGCATGAAGACTCTTAAACTCAATGGCTCTTCAAATACTTCAAAAGCTGCTGTGTTTGCTCAGCCACTTGATAAAGTGTCTGTCCAAAGTATAAGAACTTTGATGGAAGAAGTACTATCATTTATATCAATCTACACTAAACTCACTTTGCTCCCACTGATGAAGCTGAGGACATTAATTGTAAGGTACAACCCCTGAGATTTCAAATTGAGTGAGAAGAAACGGGGCTTTCCAGTGATTAGGTGACCATAAAGGCGGCAAAGCTGATATGTTACACATATCTTCAAGTCTAAAACATCATTCATTTTAAGTTAAATTATTTTACATATGTCCACCAATAAAGTATTCCAATTCATAACAAACTACAATGTAAAAATAGAGTATTTTAGTATATCTGTGAATTTTCAGATACATTATTGTTTCTTCTAATTATTAAGTCAACACAGCGCTATGAT